CGACAAAGGAGGGGGAGGCCTTCAAGGAGATGGATTGATACGGTGGCTGCGATGATGGGCTCAAGTATAGCAGGGATTGTGGGGCTGGCGCGGGATTGGGCAGTGTTCCGTTCTGCTGTGCATGGGGTCGCTATGAGTCGGAAACGACTCGACAGCACTTAACAACAACAACAACAGTGGTAATCACTCTTTTGGTAGGGTCATTTCTAAATCTATCTGACATCCCTTTAACTTGCTTAAGGTTGTAGGTGCTGAAATAAGGAGTGTTCCCCTGCAGAATCCCCTTCAGTCAGGTGGAATGGCTAACTGGCTTTTTGTCTTTCTCCCTGTGAAACAGAGCTGACTTTTCCACTTCCTGTTCTGTTTTATAACACAAAGAATTCTCTAAGTCTGTCAAATTTACTAAGATATATAACAGCTACCTTTGAAGCTCTCAAAATTTATAAGCCTGACATGACTTTACAACTACAACTTCTAGATACAAGCCGACATAAAAGTTCCTATTAGAAAAGTTTAACTTTTTAGTCACCCTCATATTTCTGTATGTTTATGATACTTCTTTCAGTAAAATTCAGAGAAAGAAAATAAACACTTCAGGATGCATTATGAATCTACTAAATAACAAACAATCATTTGTAAAATGCTTAAAAAACAAATGATTAATGTTTACAACAACCACAGTGCATATTCAGGAATGCATCTTTCTGAATAGATTCTAAGTTGGTTTATGCACGTATCTCTCTCCCCAGGTAGTCTTGACAACACTGAAAGATAAGGGCTGGGTCTTCTAACTTCTTATGCTACCTTCCTTGTGCAGGATATTGGTTCATGAAAGCCAAATGCTAGTGTGGCAGAAAGTGTTCCTTCTACAACTAAAATTGTCTTTCTGCTTTTTTATACACCTAATTATATATTAAAGTAATTCAAAAACTGCTAAAAGGCAGAGCCAGTGGCCTTGTTAGGTGCCACTGAGTCAATTCCCACTCATAGTGACTCCAAGCCAAAATAACAAAATACCGCCCAGTCCTGCACCATCCTCACAATTGTTGCTAAGTTTGAGTCCGTTGTTGCAGCCACGGTGTCAATCCATCCGGTTAAGGGTCTTCCGCTTTTTCACTGACCCTCTATTTTACCAAGCATGATGTCCTTCTCCAGGGACTGGTCCCTCCTGAAAGAAAAGCAGAGCTGAACTATTTTATCTTACCAGAACTGGATACACGCCTGATCCTCTGAGAACACAGGGCTCGATCAGAATTGAGATTTCTACTGTCACTATTTCGCCTCAGACAAGAAACAGAAGGTCCCACTTTGGCTTTTGGACCAGGTGTTTTCCTCAAGCTGGAGGTGTCAGGCTTGGATATACTCCTACCTGAGGTGGTTGCAGTTTTTGACGCAGAGCCCTGTGGAAATAAAACAAAACAAAACAAAACAAAACAAAAAACAGTTAAGCCTTCAGTCCAGATCTTACTTTCTCAAATTTCTGATGTTAGCTATGAGACAGAACCAATTTCTAACTAGATATGCCAGATAGGTTTTAACTTTCATTTTCATTCTGAAGACATTAATACTCTCTCATTTATTCTTCAATTCAATGATGTCTTTTCCCTCCATCAGCAAAATTTTTTTCCCCACAAGATCACTAGTGCCACAGGTTAAATTCAAGCTAGTTTTAAGTCCTTCCTTACGAGCCTTCTTAGAGTCATCCAATGTTACTGACACCATCTTTCTTTGGGTTTACCAACAAAGCTCTTTTCTGATTTTCCTTCTACTGTTTGGTTATGCCTTCTCTGGGTACTCTTCCTCTGTGCCCTTAAACGCTAGCCTTCCTGAAGGTCCTGAACTTAGCCTTCTTCTTTTTCCTCATCATATGCACTCATTCACTACTTCAAACATCAACTATAAGCTGAGGCATCCAAATTCACATGTCCAAGTCAGCATACTCTCTTGAGTTCCAAGTCCATACTTTTAACTGCTTTCTGCATCTCTCCCATTCAGCTTCCTCTTGGCACCTCTACTTAATAATAATCAGATTACTGTTTTGTTTTTTAATATTTACTTATTTAAAATACATTTTTAAAAAATTATTTATCTAAGTCAGCAGTTCAAACTCACCAGCTGCTCTGCAGGAGAAAGCTGAGTCAGTCTGCTTTTGTAAAGACTAATAGCCTTAGATGGCAAATAACAACAACAACAATAGCCTTAGAAACCCTATGGGGCAATTCTACTCTGTCCTAACTAAAGGGTTGTTATGAGTCAGAATTGACTGGATGGCAGTGAGTTTTTCATGTGAGACACCATTCTAAGCACTTCACATGTATCAGTTCATTTAATCCTCATAATAACTACATGAGATTGATATTTTTTATCATATCCCGTTTCACTGATGAATTACAGAAAGTAGTTTCTAAAATTGAACTGATTTTGCCTATCCATCTCAAAATGTGTCTCTTCCCATAGTCACTGTAACATACCCAGGCACTCACTCTAAAAACTGAAGACTATTTCTAGATGCTTCCTTTCTTATCTCCAAAATCCCTCTTGATGGGATTCTCTCTTTTCATCTGCCTTAGTGCAGGCCTGTATCATTTCTTGCCACAATTACTGAAAACTTTTCTTAAAGATCTTTCTGCTTCAGGTCTCACCAAATGCCAATTCATCTTCTACTTCTCCCCCAGAGCAATCTCTCTAAAGTCCAGATTGAATTTGATCTTCCTCCTGCCTTCCAGATAAAGTCAATTCTTGATAAAGCACACCAAGCCCTCTTGGATGTGGCAGCCCCTGCTATCCTTTTGAGCTTGTTCCTTACCCCTCTGGTTCTGTACCTCTTGCTTTGTCATATGAACTACCTGAAGTCCCCTGATGAGACTATTTCCTCATGTTTCTGCACCTTTGCCCATGTTATTCCCTCTACCCAGAAAATGCCCTTCCAAGTCACATTTGCCCTTCAAGTTCTGGCTAGAAGTAACATGACACTTTCCCTAGAAACCTTCCTTGACAAACCCCCTCTTCTCCACTGACCTTACCCAGTTCCCCTTCTGTTACAGAGACAGCTATTCATACTTTCAACTTGCCATTTAACATACCCTGTTGGTTTACTTTGTAATATTATCCACTGCATTAGGCACTAGGTTTGTTCAGGGGCTGGGTTCTTCTTCTCTGCACTCTAGCAATCAATACTATATCTAGTACACAGTACCAAAAAACCAAAACCAAACTCACTGCCCTCGAGTCAATTCAACTCATAGAGACCCCCTCCCTTGGGTTTACGAGACGGTATCTCTACGGAAGTAGATTGCCTAATCTTCCCTCTGGGGAGTGTCTGGTGGGTTTGAACTGCCAGTCTTCTGGCTAGCAGTCACTCAATAAATATTTGCATTCTACATATAGGAGTCCCTTGTGGTAATACAAGTAGGTAAGGTGCTCAGTTGCTGATCAAAAGGTTGGAAGGTCAAGTCCACCTCAGAGAAAGGCCTGGTGATTTACTTCTGAAAAATAAGCCATTAAAAATCCTTTGGAGTACAGTTGTACTCTGATACACACAGGGTTGCCATGAGCCAGAACTATTTTGATGGCAACTAGTAACCACTTTTATTCTACATCTAAGAAGTGAGAGCCTGAGCTTTATTCAAAATACAAATTACAACACTGTAAGCAACAATTTGTATTCTTCCTTTACATAAAGAGAAACTGTGTCTCACAGAAACCAAGTAACTTGCCCAAGGTGAATGAACTTAGCCATTGAATGATGTAACTAAAATTTGAAACCAAGTCTAACCCCCAAAATCACGCTCTTAACCTGTATGCTACATGTTTCTCACTATTACCCTTCTTTCTTTGTTTAATAAGTAATGAGAGGGTAATTTATAAGGGAGATATGAAAAAAGCCCCCGGTTGATGACAACTGAATTCATATACTAAGTATTGTCTTAACTAACTAGGCAAATATTCCAAGAGAACACCTAGAGATCACATTTAGGCACTGGAGAGCAATACAGAATTGCCTGACATACGCAAATGACTGTACACAAACTAACAAAGATCTTCAACCTCTACCATCACAAAGCTAGCAAAATTAATCTCTCAGAGTAAACTTTCTGTTAAAAAGTAAACAAAATGTCTAACCAAATAATAAAAGTGAATGTTCAGCAAATCCAATTTAGTCTGCCTTTCAGAGCCAGCTACAAAATGTTAACACCCAGTAGAATCAAAAAGACCAAACTCAGTGCTGTTGAGTAGTTCTCAACTCATAGTGATCTCTCCTTGGGTTTCCAGGGCAGTATCTCTATGGATGTAGACTGTCCAGTCAGTAGAGTAGCAGAAAATGCAAGAATTCTAATCAGGAGATGTAAATTTGAATCTCAATTCTATTACTTATCAGCTGTGTGAGTTTTAAACAACCTCTCCAAAGCTTTCAAATGTGGATAAGAGCTACCCTTCCATTACTGGGAAGAGTAAATGACAATGTACATAAAGCACCCAAGCATTCCTGAAAAAATTAAGTGGCATAATACATGTAAAGCATATGAGCAAAGTGCTTGGAAGAGAGCAGGCACTGAATAAATATCAATTCCTTCCCTGTTAGATAATTTACCACTCCTTTTACCTAATACCAAATACCAATACCAAGGAACTCTGGGGCATAGTGGTTAAAGTATTCAGCTTGTAACCAAAAGGGCAGTGGTTCAAACACACCAGCCTCTCTGCAGAGGAAAGATGAGGCAGTCTGTTTCTGTAAACATTTTTTTTTTAAGAGCTTGTGTTACATTCAATGTTATGTGTGCCTTTAGTTTCATTCCCCATTTACCATGTGCAACCCTAACCCAGTCTCCTCCCCTCCCTACCCTGTAACCGTCCCCTTGTGCCGCTCATATTTATGTACTCCTGTTTGTCCTGTATTTCCTCAATTTGATTGTTGGTCCTCTGGTGTCCCATGGTCTATTGGTCTAAGGGATGTATTACCAAAGGGTATGTGGGTACATCATCCTGGGTTGAGTGGTCTGCATGTACACCTTTTTAAATATTGGGCTGAGAGCCAGCCCCTGGGGTTGCGTTTTATTCCAGGTGCAGAATGTATTCCAGGGTCATAATATTGGGGGGTCTCACCAGATTTCATCTGATCAGTAATTCTGGTCATTATTGAGTTTTTGGATTTTGTTCCACATTTTCCCTCCCACTCTATCCAGGATCTCCAGATTTGATCCTTTCCTGAGTGGTTGGCATTGGTAGCTGGGCACCATCTAGTTTTTCTGGTCTTGAGGGCCATCTGATGTCCCTTTGTTTTTTTGTGTTCTTCTTCGCTTCCTATGCTAGGAGACCATGAGCTGCATCTTAGATGGCTGCTTGAAAGCTTTTAAGACCCCAGTCACTACTCACCAATGTAGGATGTGGAGCAAGGCTTTTTTGTATTTTGTTGTGCCAATTGAGTCTGGTGTCCCCCAGTACTATGGTCCTGAGACAGTAGATCTATTGGATCTCTCTCCCATAGGGTCAGTTTGTCTGTGAGGGATTACTCTGTGTCTGTCTTCTATTGTTTCTGTAAGGACTGCAGGTATTTTGTATCACTGGTGTCTGTGCAAGATTAGCCTCAGCTGAATCTATCCTTGGTCTAGGGTATACTTCTGTTCACTGACCCCTGTCTGATCATCTCAGGTGTGTATGTGTTTATCTGTAGCCTGGTGTTTTGTGTTAATGGCAATGCAGTATTGTGGACACATTGGTTGGTACTAACATCTGTTGTGTATCTCTTATGCACAATTCAGTGTCCTCCCATTTCCTAACGCTAGCATGGTGGTCATAGATCCTTCCCATATATCCCTCCCCCTACCTACGTCAGCATGTACAGCCCAACTAACCTGAAATTAATCCCTCCCCATCCTGGTAACCTACTAAGTGAGCTCCCTTTCCCAAGTAAACCCTTCTCTGTCTTTTTACAGTAATAAGCTCATACAGTACTTGTCTTTCTGCCATTGACTTATTTCACTCAGCATTTACAACCTTGGAAACCCAATGGGGTAGTTCTGTGCTGTCCTAAAGGATCGCTATGATTCAGAATGGATTCAATGGTACTGGGTTTACCTAACACCAGGGCTTCAAACAGGTTCATTTAGGTCCAACTTCTGGCTTAGAATTTGCATCTCCACCCCAGATATACTGAATCAGAATCTACTTTTTAATAAGACCCTTGAGTGATTCTGAGGTATACATTAAGAAATTTTATGCATACATAGTAAGAATCATCTGAGGGTCTATTATATAGATAGAGCTTATAGATCTTATAGATCCTCAGATGGATTCTTGCTATGTTTACATAAAATTCCTTAATGTATACATCAGAATCGCCCAGGGATCTTGTTAAAATATAGATTCTGATTCAGTAATCTGGGGTGGAAATGCAAATTCTCAGCAGAGGGTTGAACTGGAGTGAACTGATTTGAAGGCCTTCCTAACACATAATCACCAAGACAGAGCCTCTATAACAAGTAACTACATTCAACCTTTTGTTTTAAATTAAAATCATATTCCTTCCTCCAAATAGGAAATTCTAAAGGTTCAGATGAACCCTGACCACCAAAGAGCTCTGAGATTAAAGGCAGTCTAAGGATTCAGTAAATCCAAGACCTAATTTAGCCCAAGACTAACAGAACACACAGGAAATTAAAATACCTCCAAGACTGTCTCATTATAGATCCAGAGTGGATTTAGAGTCTCTGGGTACTACTAAAGTGACCAACAAACAACCAAGTTTGAATAGAACATGCAGCAAATGGTGATTCACAATAATAAAAAGGCTGGATCCTGTAGGTCCATCAAGAATCCAGTTGCTGTGGAGTAGATTATGATTCCTCATGAGCCTATATGCATCAGAGTAGAAGTGTGCTGCACATGTTTTTCAAATGCCCTTGAAAAGATACATGGAACTGTTAAAGAGTAAACTACCAAAATCAGAGGCAATGTGTACCTGAAACATACATAACCATTGAAAAGAATGAGTTTTTCAGACCAGGGTGACAAGAAAAAACATGAGTGTCTGAAAATATGGACAAGTCCTCCAGGATTCACAATGTACTACATATTTAATTATGAAAACTAACTGCAAGCTTCCTAAGATGAGAAGTACTTCTTCCACAAGATGTACTGGCATCCATTCATCCTGATGACTTCAATGCCACATTCCAAAAAAACCAAACTCACTGCCATCGAGTCAATTCCAACTCGTAGTGACACCCATTCGGTTTCCAAGGCTGTTAATCTTTTTGAAAGTAGATTGCCCCATCTTCCTTCCATGGAGCAGCTGGTGGGTTCGAACCACTTACCTTCTGGTGAGCAGCCAACTGCCTTATCCACACCACCACCAGAGATATGAACTTGAAAAATGGACTTTCATTATGCACATGGGAAATATAAGATCTTCCAAGTGCACGAATCAGAAATAGCTTTGGATTCGAACTTGCACAACTAATTTTGTACTAAAGAAAAATGTATTTAAAGAAATATTATGCTACTTTTTCTGGGGGATAAGAGACAAATTTATAATAAAAGCCTTCCATACATCAAAGAGGAATAAATGTCATTTCTACATAATCTGTCTACACCAAACAAAGGTTGGCAAGAACTACCAGAAGTTATTATAACTTAATTTAAAATAATATAGGCAAAACAAGTTTCCTACGTTTGACTTCAAGAGAATTTACAAACAAAATCGGCATTTTGAAATAACATACCAGACTTTCAAAATCACTGTAGTTTATCACTATAGTTAATAAAACCTAAAAACAAACCCATTGCCTTCAAGTCAATTTCGACTCATAGAGACTCTGTTGAATAGAGTAGAACTGCCCCATAGGATTTCCAAGGCTATACATCTTCACAGATGCAAACTGTCTCATCTTTCTCCCACAGAATGGCTGGTGGGTGCAAACTGCTCACCTTTTGGTTAGCAGCCGAGTGCTTTAACCACTAAGCCACCATGGCTCCTTCCACCTAACCGAGAAGATTAATTTTTAAAACTAAAACATCCCTAAACTGGCCCAGCTCAAGAATTAGTTTTCCTAACCTGATCTAAATATTTCTGGCAAGTTCCTCATGTGTACGCCTGGTATACCTGAACACACTTCCTAAAACAGGCCTTTACTACTTTGCCACATTCACGTGTGATGTTCCTGTTAGACATGAGTCTTCCAGGGGACTGGCAGAGTTACATGTGTCTTCCTACCCTGTCACCTAGCTCCATGTCTGGCCCACACAACAGGTGTCTAAGAAAAGCCCTGTGTGAGGCTGAAAATACATGCTAAGTCCCCACTGCCAAAAATAAGGCTAAGGACAAATACACATAGCCCAGAAATGGTCCATCAAATGTTTTTAAAACTCTGAAAACCAGTCTCTTCATGCTACTGTCAAAATAATATGCATGTGTAAAAAAAAATAATCTTTTGGGAATTGCATCCAAACAGTCTTTATCATTAGACAGAACTGTCTAATTCCTCCTAAATATTTGATAGGTACAATAAAAAAAATACTGCTTTTCACTATTCATGAATAAAATGGATTTTGTTTATTTTATGTACCAAGAATCAACACATAATAGATACAAGAGACCTCAGACATCAAACCAGTCTATTTCTTTCACCTTTGGACCTCAAAAGGCTACTTGCTCAAAATCACATTAGCTGGTCAGAGGCAGAATCAAGAACAGTCCTACTTGCAAGCAGGGCTCTACTTCCTGGAGCTGCCTTCTTCAACATGACACCTGCAGTTATTTTTAAGCTGATTCTGTTTACTAGCACTTCTTAGCCATTTCTTAAATGTGGTCCAATATATTTCAAAGTTTATAGACAACGCTTTTCTGTAAAAATATAAAATTTCATAATCAAATATTTAACTTTAAATCTATATTAAAATATTAACTTGTTTTGTGAGTACAATATTAAAAAGAACATCAATACTTTATGAAAAATGCTGAACGTAAGGATTTTTCAATATGCAGGTTTTGTATATTGTGACCTAATAACACTCTAGTATATACTGACTGAAAAGAACACGAAACACCTGAAAGCAAATATCTGAAAGCAAATTTGCATATCTAGTTCTATGATATTCTTAACTCTTAGTGAGTGACTAATATATCTCTCAGTTTCTTCTAGTACTCTCTGAAGCAGGCAAAAATTTCACTTACCAAAAAGGCAGAACTGTATTCAAAGGTTTCATTTAAAATTTCCCTTTTTAGCTCTTGTTTTTCCATAGGTGTCCCATTTCCTTTTTCACCCTTCTTTTCAGGGCTAATCCGATCAATGTTGGAAACATATGTCATTCCCAGACATGTTGTGCTTTCCATTTTAACAGGGAGTATGCCTTTGATCTTCTGAAAAAACGAAGCCACAGACCCAGTCTCACATGCTGAATTAGAAGAACTTGCTTTGTCAACATCTTCCTTATTTGATTTCACAGGAGATGTTGTTCTTGGAACCTTGTGTGAAGCATTTTTAGAATGAGTTGTAACATGCACAGCCTGGTTAGTAATGAGTTTATTAAATTGCTGCTTATGTGTCTTGTTAATTAGGATTTCTGCTTTTGTGTCTGCATTCAAATCAGATCTTGGTGTTTTGCTCAAAGCTCTCAAGTGTCTTGAGGAAGACACTGATGGGGGGGATGAGGCACTGGTCACCTGAGATTTGGGTGTGACCTTTGATAAAGCAGGGTCTTTGGACTGCAACACTGGTCTAGACATAACTTTTGCTTTGACATTCTTAAAGTTTGGTCTTGGGTAACTTATAATTTCAGTTTTTCTAACTTTTCTGCCTATAGGAGTATTAGTTTTGGTTGTTGATTTTCCTAGACTAGTTTTAGATATGGTCATTGATGTTTCCTTCAAGTTCAATGAACTTCTAAGTTCTTGATTACTCTCCTCCACTTTACTACATTTCTCTGTTGCTTCAATAGGTGAAATAGAAAAAGTTGCATTTGCGGATTCAAGGACTGGTGTTGACATGCAAATGGTGTCACTTGCGCTAGTGAACATATCATTTGCATTCCAAGACACTTCAAATGATGACGCCACCTTCTGTCCCAGTGGACTACTTAATTCTAAGGTACCGTTTTGGGCTCCCACATCCTTCTCACTGGAAGCAGTTTGTGTGTCTTCAGTCAGAGTGATTTTATGCTCTGGGTTCAGCACTTGGACTTTAGTTTTATCAAAAGCTGGCACTAGTAAAGGGCATTCATCATCTATAAGACAATCGGACACTGTTTCTCTTAGAGTTTGGCCCATTTCCTTTTGCCCATATGAGCTCTTTGAATGTGTCTCACTATTTGGTTCATCTTTAGATAAACAAAAGAACTCTTGTAATGCAGACCCATTGGGAACATCCATGCCATCAGAAACTGGTGTTAGAGCTTGTATCTGTTGTTCTCCAACTAGTCCTTGCTGTGGGCCATCTGTGTACTCACTGGTAACCTTTCCTGAAGAATATTGACACTGATTTCCAATATCTGGAACAACAACATCAGTTTGCATCACCATATCAGGAAATACTGTGTAAGTTGTATCTTGGGCTTCTGATGATACATCTAGGGAGTTTTCAAAGCTCTGTTTAGTGTAACTCTTTTCTCTCACATGTGTCTTATCAGAATGGGAAGACAGAGTAGAGCAGGATAAAGATGTATTTCCAACTCTCATACCAGTTGGTTGTAGACTTCCAGTGGTATGAAAAGATGGACTCTTGTCAACATCATGATGTATTATAAAGGTGCAGTTAACTTTATCTTCTTTTAAGTCAAATGTTTGGTTTAGTTCCGACACAATAGGGTGGCCTGTACAGTTCAGATCATCATTAGGCTTCCACACAAAAGGCAGCGATGGCTCAACACTATGGTCTGGAACTTCTCCTAGGGAATGGCCATTATTATGCAAGTACAAGGGCTCTTCTGTATTTAAAAAGTGTGCAGAAGTCTGACAGATGAAATCTTTGTGAATATCTAACATTCCCTTAGTAATAAAATCACTTGAAGACTTTTGGTGATCAAGTACTTTAACACACTGATAGTTTAAAGAAATATTTCCACCACTGTCCATAGCAGGAATGGGTTCATAATCAATCGCCATGTCATCTGGGTTGGCAGAATTCCAATTCACATTACTAGGTGAAGAATTTTGTGTCGGTGGTGATTTTTGATTGTATGGATACTTATTTCCATTTTTATCACTGATAAATAAGGATTGCAATTCATTTTCTGTCTTGCCATCTGAATTATCATCATTCATCCTGACTATTAACTTTAAACCACTGCCATTTTATTTCTTCTTCAAGTTTTTTCAAATGAGAAGGAAAGAAATGTCTGTCTCCTGAGTTTTTCAGCAGTTAAAGGTTTTTTATTCTAATATGTTCAGTATAGATTTTACTTTGAAGTTGAAATGATTTATTTGTTGTTCCCTGGAAGAAATAAAACATGTAGCTCAAGTAAATATTAGGAAAATTAATAGGTTTCCCCCTTATTAGTTTCTATCACTTTTATAACCCATACTATTGGGTAATTAAGAGATATCATTAGCTCAGGTAGGTATCATTAGCTCATCACCATCTCCTTTCAAATATATTCTCTCCCTGAGGGGAACACTGCAGAATGGAAGACAGACACAATGCTAAAACTGCCCTGTGACTGATTTCACCACCGAGATGTCTCCTTTCCACTCCCAGGCACTTGGCAATAGGTTTTCCTTCTTGCTGGTTGACAGAGTGACCATTCATCTTAACTTTACAAAGGCAGTCCTCACCTATGCCTGTTGTTCCAGAATTACTAATAGTGTCCACTTTCACTCTCAGAAGGGCCCTTGATTGTTTCTATGGAGAATGATTACCAGACAGAATAAGCAGGCTGAGAATGAGAGTTAGAGATCAAACAACGAAGACATAAAGCATTAGCCCTTCTCTTTGTTTTTCATCCCTATCTTAAACATGTCACTTAGAAATTGGAAAGAGAAAAAAAAAAAAGTTTTCGACTCTTAAAAGTTAAAATGCTATTCTGTTGGCACTTTTTCAAAAGGTTAAACAGTTACCATATGACCCAGCAATTCTACTCCAACATACCTATCCAAGAAAAATGAAAGCATGTGTCAATATAAAAACTTGTACATAAAGGCACATCATCTGTAATTGCAGCATTATTCATAATAGTCAAAAAGTAAAAAGAATCCAAATGTCCTTTGACTGGTGAAAGGATAAACAAAATGTTACATATCCGTCCAATACAATAGTCTTCAGCAATAGAAAGAAATAAAGTATTGATATATGCTACAACAGGGGGAGCTCTGGTAGCATAGTGGCTAACACACTTGCCTGCTAACCAGACGGCTGGCGGTTCAAACCCACCAGCCACTCCTCGGAAGGAAGGTTGGGCAATCCTACTTCCGTAGTGATACTGCCTCGGAAATCCAAGGAGGGGTCACTATGAGTCGGGGCCGACTCGACGGCACATAACAACAACAACAATATGCTACAACATGGATGAAACTTGAAAACATTATACAACGTTAAATAATCTCGTCACAAAAGACTACATATTATATGATGCCATTTACATGAAATATCCAGAAGAGTTAGATCTACAGAAGTAGAAAACTGATTAGTGGTTGCCTAAGGTTAGGAGTCCCTGTTAAGTGCATAAACTACCAGCCAAAAGGTTGGCAGTTTGAACTCCCCCCCGCACAGGTGCCTCAATCTGGTTCCAAAAGGTCACAGCCACGAAAACTCTATGGAATGTCATACTGCTATGAAACACAGGGGGCTGCCATGAGTCACAACTCAACAGCAATTTTTTTTTTTTTTTTTGGTGGGGTTGGTTGGGTTTGGGAAAGGGCTAGAGAGTAGGTATGGAAAGTGAACATTAATTGGTACAGGTATTCTTTTAGGGGTGACAAAAATATTCTAAGGTTAGATTAAGGTGATGGTTTTGCAATGCTGAAAATATATTTAAAAACCATTGAATTGTATACTTTAAAAAGAAAGCTTTCTAATTCAAGAGTTTTGCAAATAATTTAGATTACACTTTTAGGTATTGGAGTTCTTAGGAAATGTCCAATGATCAAGCAAAACTGCAAAAAATCAAACAGCTATATGTTCATTTGTACTCATCTTCTAATCCTAGTATTTAATGTCAATCAGATATAACAGTTCTATTGTGAGGAAATAAAATATCCATGATGAAAAATAAATGACAATGTGTGACCCATAGATTTCAGAATTAAGAGTAGATTTCATTTTTTATTTCATAATCTTTACCCTGTATTCAAACTTCTGTGGCCTGACTACAACCAGGAGAATCAAAACTATGGAGGAACTGAAAGGATCAGTATCTTCACTAACAGTGCTTTGTGTGTTTCTGGTTGTGCATCCTGAAACCAGCCTTTACTGCAAGAAGGAAGAAAGGCTGCAGTGTTTATCTCAACAGTGTGTGTGCGTACACACACACACACTCAGATTCTGAATCCTAAAAATAAGAGCTGTGTGATTTTTATACTGCTATAAAGTGTAGATTAGTCAACTTTAAAAAAATGTATATATATCTACGAGTCAGATCCAACTCGACAGCAGTGAGTTTTTTTTTTTTTTTTTGGTTTTTCTCTCCAGAAACACATTGCTAGGCCTTTATTCCAGGTTGGGTTGGAACTGCTAACCTTTTGATTAAGTATGCAAGTAAAAATCATTTACGCCCACAAGGATTAATAATATGAGCAAATGAACACTGCAAATATAAGTTTAACAAAAATTATAGAAATTATTTGTCTTTATAAACAGTCTTCAGATTCCAGTGACAAAGCTTTTACTACCTAAGCTCCCTCTTCGAAAGTAGATAAAGGATAAATTAAAAAAAAAAAAAAAAAAACAGAATAAAGTAAATGGTTCTATATCAAAGCATTTCAAGGTATTTTTAAAATAAGTCTGTAAGTTTATTTGGATAAATTTTACCAGTAGTTCCTTATCATATGGGGTTTAGCTTGTTTCTAGTCTTCCTCTTTTAAATATCACAATAAAATAAACACCTTTGCAAACTTTGACTATCTCTGAATATTTCTTTAGGAAAATAAATAAAGTAATATTGGATATGAAAAAAAAATATATGAAAATGTAAGGTTCTTGACATAATTTGCTAAATTGTTAAATGGAAAAAAAATAAAGGACATAGAAGGATTCTTTATACTGTATATATTAATACATTTATTTGGTAGATATATGATCTGAATATTGATTTTAAAGTTATGTATTTTGTTAAACATTGTCTCATGAACACTTTTTCACGTAACATCAAAACATTTCTAGTCATTGCAGAACTCCATTTACATTAAGGCTAAATGTTTTAGATCTATAAGTGAGTGATTTATAAAGCCTAACAGTAACAGGAGAACAGCTATTCTGCGGAAGAAAGACATGACAGTGACTTCCATAAAGATTACAGCTGTGAAAACCCTATGGGGCAGTTCTACTCTGTCCTATTTGGTCCCTATGAGTCAGAATCAACTCAATAGCAATTGGTTTGGGGCTTTGGGGTTTATAAACAAGAATAAAGAATTAGTGGATATAGAGATTTGGATACCAAAGAAGTTCTGCAGTTTAGTTTATCATTATCAGTTTATCATTCACCAAAGAAAACAATAGCTTCAAGTCACTAACGCCATGAAGATAAAGTGGTGGACTGGAAAAGTTGGCCAGTCTTCCCTCAGAAGTTATGTCAAGAATATTAAATTTGTCTGTTTTATCTTATGGAAATTTCATTCTTCTCCTACTTAAGAATAGTACCTAAATTTGGTTCACCACCTATGGACAACTATTCTTTGACTTAATCTTACCTGGCACATAAAGCAATGTCCTTATATTCCTACAGTTGCAATTTGATTTGTAAAACTATCAATACGTTATAGTTTTGTTAAAGAAACAACAACAAAAACCTCACTGCCATCAAGTAGATTCTGATTCATAGTGACCCTCACTGGGTTTCCAAGGCAGTAAATCTTTACAGAAGTAGATTGCCTCATCTTCCTTCCACAGAACGACTGGTGTGTTTGAACCACTACCTTCTGGTTAGCAGTCAAACGCCTTAGGCACTGTGCCAACAGAGCACCTTAAAGCAAGAAGAGAGAATTAAAAAAAAGAAGAAGAAAGAAAGAAAAAGAAAAACTTAAAACAAGTTTTCCTCACCCAAAGAAATAATTTCTCAAGTTCTCTTTCAGTAGGGGGCGCTCTGGTGGTGTAGTGCCTAAGTCATTTGACTGCTAACCAGAAGGCTGGCGGTTCAAACCTACCAACTACTCCTCCAAAGGAAGGTTGGGCAATCTACTTCCGTAGTGATACTGCCTCAGAAACCCAAGGAGGGGTCGCTATCAGTCGAATCCCACTCGATGGCAGTGTATTGTGTTGCTGTTGTGTACGTACAAGAACAAAGGAAAATGATCAGGTTTCTTTTCTAGAAGAGCCATTTGGGAAAACAGGGAGATCCTTTTCAGAGAACAACTTGGACGAGGGAGAACAAATTCCCCATTTATTAAGGTTTAGGGACACGAGAGGGCAGTTCCTATTGAATAAATTACCAAAATATAAATATCTATAATGATTTGCAAATTTAAAAATTGGCAAATAAGAAGTAGAAGAAATGGTCAATAATAACAACCCACCAGCCACTCCTTGGAAGAAAGGTTGGGCAATCTACTTCCATAGTGACACCGCCTCAGAAACCCAAGGAGGGGTCGCTATGTGTGGGTCCGACTAGACAGCACATAACAACAACAAGAAGTACAAGCTTTGAGTTGCACAAGGAGCTCCGGTAGCATAGTGCCTAAAGGCACTTGACTGCTAACCAGAAGGCTGGCGGTTCAAACCCACCAGCCACTCCGCGGAAGGAAGGTTGGGCAA